CCATGTCACAAAATGAACATCTATTGAATAAGCTGAAGCAGCTCCTGTGTCCTACCTCAGGGAGGAGGCAGGGTCCCAGCAGATGCAGCTCCTGCAGCCAGGAGCAGCTCAGGTGCAATGTGTCAAAACACAGCTCTGTTCACCCACACACAAAGATTTTAGTACCTGTTACTGCTTCTGTTCACTCATTTACAGATGCCAATAAAGCAAGCAATGCGCATGCGTGTGTGTATAACATAAATGACAACCTGCAGAAGCATCATTTCCTCTGTTTTTGTCAGATGTTGCTGGGCTCTTGAAAAATCTGTAGATTTTTTGGTGTTTGGGCTTGTGCTTGTTCCCTCTCCACCCCTGCCCTTAAGTTACATGAAAGTTTTCTACTCATCATGAGTAGTTATTGATTATTCTAGGGCTATGGGATAATTAAATATMCAGGCTTGGCAGAGAGAATATTCTTTTAGAAATACTAACAAGATGTTAAATCCAAGGAATTCCAGTCCTATACTCTGTAGGGTCATAAATCAGTGCAGGGGGTAGAAATATAAATGAAATCATTTAAAAATCAGGTACATGACTGTAGCTATTGAGTCTATGTCTCACTTATCCCTTYGCTACTAAAGGTAGTAACCCCCTCCCCCTCACATCCATTATTAATAAAATAATTTTTGTGTCATTCATGGGCTTTTAGTTCACGAGGACTTTTGWGCTAGAATTAAATGAAAATAGATCATTCTGCAAGTATCCCCAACTTTTATGTGAATTCCTGCTATCCCTCCCCTCCCAATGCTAACTATCCAGCTATGAAACGGGGCTATCTGCCCTCCGAGTGAGATTTTATTGCTAAAATAGAGTAAAAATTGTTTTAAAACAAAGAACACACATCTTTATAGTAAAACTCAAGTTTGTTTTACAATTAGAGAAAAGAGTCACATGGTCCCCCAAAAAACCCCAAGTTTTTTATATATATATATATATATATATTTCGAAAATATATTTAAAAACATAAAAAACTCTAGTTAAACATATATTATGTTAATCAGTACACTTAAATATAGCTTAATTATATTTACAATATGACGCGGTTGCTTTTAAATTTTAATGCCAATTTCAGTATTTTCCCAAAAAAACCCATAAAATTATATAAATATACAATAAATATTTATGTTACACAAGGTGAATAATAAGAGAACAAGGCCACAGACATGAACTTACAGTTGCAAGAGTCTTTAACACAGCACTAGGCCTGCTGACATGCATCATATACTTCTGTCACAAACAGACCACAGCGGGGGTTTATGATTTAGTGATGTGAAAAAAAAACCAACCCTCCCCTCTCCATCCCTGTTTGAACTCAAACTGCCCAGCCCGTGAGCGTGGATGGGTAAGGTCAGGCTCAGGAGAGCTTGTTTTAATTGCCAGTTTTAATCACCATTTTCATCTTATAACAGCAAATATGGAATTGGTGTGCTATGGGGAGTATCACTGGGTGTTGTCACCACATTTTGCTGTTCCCAGCTCCATCCCTCAGTCCACCCCACCTACCTGGGCTGTTCTTTACCCCTCTGAACCCAYAATCCTGCTGTTCTAATCCTGCCACACCTTTATTGTGCCAGGTGAGGATCTATAAGTAAAGGATACAGCCAAGTTAACTTTATTTCTAGCATGATTTATGCATTAACACTTCTCTTTTGGAAATTCAGTTTCTTTGAACTAGTTTTATTCCTGTATCCGAATTAGATTACTGTCAGACCCTAGCTATCTTTTTTTTTTTGCAGTCTAGATAAGTGATTTGTTTGCAATTCACACATCAGCATCATCCTTTCCTTTAAAGCAACCAACCCTTGTTTTGAGAGGAGCCAACATTACAGCAATGCTCTGCTGCAGTTTAGGAGTACAGCTGAGAATAAATCCTGAGTCATTTTGCATTTCCCAAATGCAAATTACAAAACACACACAGGTCCTGGCGCCAGGGGAATGAAATGGTCTGGTGGAAGGTGCACTTGCCCCTGAGATAAACCATCTTTAAGGGTCCCTTCCAACACAAAACGTTCTTTGATTCTACAATTTAATTTGCACAAAGAATATCTTAGATGAGGTTTAGGGAATTTCAGAAAAGTTTTGGCTTGTTTTTGGTTCTTTTTCTGTCTGGGAAATGCCCATCAGCAATGGATGGGGAAGGCTGAAGTTTGAAGCTCAGGTGGATCTCAGAGTCAGTGTGCACATGGCACTTTGACAGCCAGTTATCCTCGGGAAAGGGATGCCCTTCTACCCCAAGTAAAAGAAATCATTGATGTCAAGGTGTCTTGTTAGCTTCCAGATGGGTTTCTACCAGTGATGACATCAAATCAGTGTTAAATGTGCTCTTCAAAGAGCACTGTTGGGGGCAAAATATTTTAGTAAGCTTTGCCCAGCCGAGGTTTTAATAAMCACAGATTCTGCAGCATCCAGAAGCAGATTATATCCTGCAGTATTTTCCTATTWGTTCAGCTATTTTTCTTCATCTACAGGAATTACAAATATAGCACCAGCCTTCAGTGAGCTTACTAATTGAGCTACTTCTGTTCTCAGCCCACTGTAGCCAGTGCAAGTGCCTCAGCCTTACAACCCATTGCCTTTTGAGCAATAATTCATTCTCTCAGGACAGTGAGGGCTGAAAGMAGAGCTAAACACGTCTCTCAGAACCTAAGCAAGTTAAGCCAACTCCTCCAACACTTGCTCTTCATTTACTTCCAGAGTGWTTTTTTAGTGCCAATATTTGTTTCCTGAAATAAGTCTGACAGCAGAGGTAGAGCCACACAAACATAATGCTAATTGCTTTCTAGCTAATTGCCAGAGGCAGTGCTCCCTTCARTCTCATTCCAGTGCTGGTTTCCAGGGCTCCTTCAAGCAGAGATGCCACCAGAGTGTGCCACCAGCTTGGAAGGGCATCCATCCACATCTCACTCTCTAAAATAATGCACAGGACTGCATTCAGTTATCACTGCAGCTGGGATAGCCTCAGTCAACCCAAAGCACTGTTATTTGCCCCCAAACTGSCTGAGCTACAAAGTCCCACAACCAACCTCATTTATCTTTTTAAAATCCTTTTTCTAGTGACACTCTCACCGTGCTTCACCAAGACATTTGATCCAAGCACAGTCTTTTATTATATGAAAATCATTGCTCTCAACACTCTATAGAATGTTCTCTATATGACAAGCTCCAGTTCTATGGTAAGTGAAATACTTAAAGATCACAACCAATGTCCCTCCAGAGGAAGAAAAGGGGAAAAAAAATTCTCAAACACAAGCAAACATGGTATAAGCAAATGCATGTCTCAAAAGACTGAAAATTGAAAAAGAAAAACCCAAAAAAACCCCAACAACAACAAAAAAAAACCCCAACAACCAAAAAAGCATGTTGCCATACAGTTAAGTAAGTGTTGTCTTTAAGCCTGAAGTTCAACAATGTGAAGTGGAACATCACCATTCTTTTTCAGTTGCCTCTTTTTATTATTTTTTGTCAGTAGTTGGATTGCTATTGCAAACACCTTCACAACATACAAAAAACAAATTTGCTTCTAATTCAGAATAAGGTAATGATTTTTTTTCTTTTTCAATCTGATGGGATTTCAAAAGTAAAAGAGAAACAGTAAAACTATGACAACAGCACCTTGACATTTTTTTAATTTCAACGCTATCAGAAGTTAGAAGCAGTAAACATATATACTAACAGACTAAAGATACTTACTGTCTAAAATGTAAACAGAATGTTTTGGTTCAATTTATTTTTCTGAAAGAGGACAGTTTATCATTAATTCACAATTGAAGCAGCATGCAATTTTATTCCTTTTTTTTTTAAACTTTTTATATTTTCAATTCTTGGCAACGGCGACAAACCACAATGAGGAATGTAATGCAGACTTTTTTGTTTGCTTGATTTTCTTTTTTTTTTTTTTTTTTTTTTTGTTTGTTTGTTTAAACTTGTGCGCAAATGACTTTTGCTCCCCTTCAGGTCATGGATATGTTCAATAAATAGATTGTGTAACCACTGTACTGTATAAACTTCAGTCATACATGCAGTCCATAAAATTATTTTTTTTTACCGAATAATTTACCCTGTTATGTATATATACAAATAGATAATTTTGTCTCAATATAATCTATACAACACGAACCCACTATCTTCCCCTTTTAATGGTTAATGTACATACACAAGAAGTGTCTATCCTTATAAAGCGCCAGCCAACTCTCTTTTTATTATCCATGGTGAGAGCTCTCACGTAAGACTGGGTAGTTCGGCACTGGGAGTTCCAGTGCCTCTTGTCTATGCCCCTGCAGCCCTCCTTTGTGTACCCCTTGGGGTTGCATTTGGTCTCATAGAAGTATTGCTTCAGTTGGCCTTTGGGTACTGGAACTTTCTCCAGGACTGTGACGGTCGCCCCGGACATGTCCACTGCAGTCTTTTTCTCTGCTGCTGTCACCCACTCACTCGTGCTGTCACACACGCTCAGTTCCCCACGGCGAGCTGGATCGGAGTGGCGCCGGACTCTCATGGACATGTTTGCAGCATCCAAGTAATTTTTGTACTCCTCGAGCAGAAAGAGCAGCGGGGGTTCCAAAGGCACTTGACTGCTAAGCATGACTCGGGATGTGTACAAGTCTGCATCCTTGTTTCCCTCACTGGGCTGGATGTCCTGGTCCTCGTCTAGAAGCTCCTCTATGACATGTTCAAAAGTATCTGCCAATGATGTCAGTCCTCTGGAACCAGCACTGGGCCCATTTAGGCTCTCAAGAGTCCCGTGGGTCCGAAGACCAGGGTAAGCCAAGCCGCCTTGTCCTCGTAGACTAGCTTCTTTCATTGGGGCAGCTTTCATGCAACTGAAGTATGAGATAACCATAGTAAAGAAAAGGATGGTCATCACTCTTCTCACTTGGTGGAACTGTTAAAACCAAGAAAAAAAAATTAACTTACGAGGTTTGGAGCAATTAAAATTCACCTTAAGTTGTGACAAGACTATGCATTTTCTACAGAGATGTGCTGCATGCAGTTGCAACTCATTACCAGTGATAAAGCAAACTCTTGTAAAGTGCTCTTTCATTTAGAGTTTCAGAAAAAGCATATGCCACAGCACAGGCAACATTGATGCCAGCAGCTCAGCTCTTACATGCTAAAAATCTCTCTGTAGCAATTATTAGATACAATGCAGACTCCWTATTTATAGACCGATTACACCTATTTTGAGTAATGGCAAAAGCAGAACTGCTATTTAGCAATGCAACATTTCAGCAATACAGACAGCTTCACAGGCGTGAAAGGCAAGACTTCCATTTCAAGTGCAAATGTAAATATTTGATTTTTAAGATCTCTCTATGGCAAAGAACACTTCATCATTCTGTCCACAAAAAAAATGAGCAGCACCAGGATAAATTGCACTTGTATTTTGAAAGCAATCTTCAAAACACAGGAAGAAGCCATATAATTCTGAGGTCTCAGGAGGTCAATTTCTCATCTAAATGTAGAAGGTATATATACATAAATATAGAATGAGAAAATGGCCTGGAACAGTATACAAAACTGGAGCTGGACAGACAGCTTGCGTCATGTGAATGGCACGGAAAGGACGTGCTGGRTTACAGAGCTGGTGAGAGTTATCCTGAAGTGACAGCAGCAGAACCACTGTTCTGTGCTTTGCCAGGGCCCCCACTGTTCTCAGGTGGGCAAAGCATTTCCTTAAGTGTAGTTAGAGCSCAGAGGCCTTCACAAAACCCAGCACAACCAGCCCTAATGCCACACTGAAACACAGCAGTTTGCCTGTTCATCTTATTCTGCCCCTAATTCTGGCACATGATAAGAGTCATCCTTTGATGCTTATATCCTCCTTTCATCATCTCTGTCCTCACTGAGAGTGGAAGGGTAGCACAAGAAAGGAGTGCTGGTAAGGAAATTCCTCTCCAGGCTGGGAATCAGCACAACTCACTCCTGTAAGGACTCCCAACAGCTTGGAGCTCATATAAACTCCTTCCCAAGTGCTTTGCTAAGTCTCCTCAGGGTAAAAACTGTTTCATCCTCAAGTGCAGAGTAGATATTTCAAGCCCCATTACAAGAACCCCCCAAATCCTGCAGTGACAGAGAGCTATGCTTTCTGTCTGATCCCAAGCACTACTACAACATCTATCACATCCAGTTGTTATTTTTCCAYCTTCCCATCCCTGTTCTCACCAGTTCTGTTTGCTAGAAAGCAATGGCATTGTTCACATTTTTGAAAAAGCAGCTAATGCTTGTTCCAGAGCTTTTGAAGTTCGTTCGGAAGTACCTCATACTTGGCAACACTCGTTGGAGTAAATGCTATTTCTGTTTGCCAGCAGGGTGCTGTGTAAAAAGCCTTACTTTATCTCCTACAAATACACTGTGGGAAACCGGTACTCTTACGACTTCATGGAAAGACAATTTATCATAAAACATACAAATAAGATGAAATGGGTACTAGAAAGGCAGTGCCCAAAACATGGGTCTTAAAATACAKAATGAAGGCAGGGTGGGAAGTGTTTGGATTTATGTCCATGCCCCCCTCAACTCCAGGCCCCCACTAAACAAGATTTTGGCCAAGAATTCTTTCTAATCTGAYTCTTCCTTCATCCCTCCATCTCTCTTCCTGTTTAATAGTGTTGTTGTGGCACAGATTTATTAAGATTAAACAAACTTGACATCCGTGACTCACAGGAACATAGTGTTTGCTCTAACCATGCAGAACATTAATATTTTGCAGTTTTTTCATGTTCGCATTTTTACAACGTTCTACAGGGAGTGTCAGATTTCTTYGTCAAAGGGGAGGAAAAGAGGCATTACAGAGGTGATTTACAAAACAAGGAAAAAGACTGCTAGTCTTCCTCTATCAAACAAGAGACAACTCTTTTTGTCTTGAAAAGGGGTGGCTCAGCTAGCTAAAAATGTAGAGCCAGTGGAACAAAAAATAATATTTATACACTGTCTCTTCAGAAAATTGTTTAATATAAAACCTAAAAGGAAAAGAACCCCAAACACCCACATCACACTTTGTGACCACCAGAGCAGCGAACAGAAAACAGATCTTCTGGCTCCTAATCAARTTCCTGTTATTTTTATCGAAGTAGTTGCCCAGAGGTCCCAGCCAGTTCTTGACTCTGGAGGACAGAGTCTCTCTCAGCACGTAGCAAAACTTCCAGAGCAAAACAGAGAGGGCACAAGAGGCACAAAGACAAGTGCAGAACAGGGAGAAGTTTGCATCCATCAGGTAAGCACACCGGGTGGAGGTGATGAGGTGCTTTTCAAGTTAGACAGGTGAACAAAGGAGAGAAGAACCACTGGACCAGGCCACATCCTTCACTGCTGTTATTGGGCTGTGTACCTCTCATGGATGTGAAAACAGAAGAGTGGCTCTGTAATTTCACTCACAAGGACACTTTTCTTAAAAGGAAGATGACGGAGGACAGCGGGACAGATTGACTTCGATAAGCCCTCAGCATCTTCCACCAATAGCTCTGGTTGGTCACCAGACCTAACAGCACTTTATGTAACACATTAAACCTTCCTTAGTCAATTCTGCCTTCCATTCAGCAAGGAAACTGCTGTCAGGTTTGATCAATTTACATCCCATCTGATGACACAACCACCACAACTATCTGTGATGGCAAGAAATTGTGTACAACTAGACCCTCAAAACCAACAACTTTCAGACAGGCATTACTCACATAACACACTGATGATACACAAGAAAACATATGTGCTTTAAAAGCCAATCCTCTTCCTCCCATTCATAACAGGACAAGAGTATGTCAAMTTAAACGTTAGCAGCAGAGATACAAGGAACACTGCCAGAAAGCAACCACAGATCAAACATCTACTGCTCTGCAAATGAGTCCCAGACTAAGCTCAACTCTGGAAACAGGATGTAAAAAGGTTCTTCTCTCTGCCTTGACAGTGACTTGAGCACTACACACAGTCCTTGTTTTGGCAGCAAAATTATACCAAGTGATTTAATACAAGGAAGTAATATTTTATCACCTGGGAAATATCTTTATTTTAGAGAGATCATAGCAATTTGTATTAGCAGTTGCTCAAAATCAACTAGTTTAACATGCTACAGCAGAGTAAGATCTCTCACTTTATGGGTAGAACCACACAACCTTTCAGCTATTGTTGAAGTGACACATGAATGCATGGTTCATCTCCTTCTTACTGAACCACGACTAATATCCCAATGTAGCACCAATAAGGAAATTGGAAACAATTTTGGATGGCAGCTTCCAGTCTTTTTCCTCTCTGTTCCCAACTACCAAACCTTTATTATATTGCAAAGATTAAAAATATTGCCTGTTCTGTTACAATAAGTGTCTTGTAAACCCCAAACATTAACCAGCCAGAAATACATCACATAAAAATCCCTGATGTCACAGCATCGGTCTGTAGTCCTACAATACACTCATTCCCTCCCTCCTCGGATGTAGGAGGTTCAGGTCTCTACTCTACACTTTCTAGGAATAACAAGTACAGGCTGCAAACCCATTTGTACTCCTGTTCAGCCACATCTCTGGGCATAAAAGATCAAAGACTTCTGTAGGAGAGGAAGTCTTGGCGCAATTGCTGTCCAATACACTGTGCACCAACTAACTTGGATAACAGATATATGGCAGCCTCCCTGAGAGCAAGCCTTAAACYACTCCCTCAGGACATGAGACATCTATCAGAAATACTTTTGAGACCACCTTTGTGAACACCATCCATTCTCATGGCTGTAAGAACATCCTTCCTGCCTTGGTGCAGCACAGCGAAGCTGCAGAGATGAAAACAGGTCACCCATTATGGACCAGATCTCAGGAAGATGCGACCTACTTCGTACTCCAATAAAGTCCATACAATTACAATTACGAGTAAGGACACATAATTATGGCAGTAGTCTCCACTAACAGGAAGGAGGCTCAGTAAATGAAGGGCATGTCAATTATCTACAGCTAGTTTWCATATGCAGTCAATTACCTTGCTGTACTATTTATTTCAGTATTTGTATTTAATGAGGATTCACSAGTTAATTGTTTTATTTAATTATTTTYRGTTATTTTAAGCAGAAATCTAGTARCTCAGCAGGTTGTATTTCCAGCAGAGAGACCCRAGGAACAGCTGTGAACACGTACTTGCTTTTCTGCATCCCGATATGTGCCATGCAAGTTGAAATAACTTTCAGTAGTGAATAGATTCATGCTTTAATCTCCAGAAAGGAGTGTGTGGAGGAAGATAAAATTAGCAGCAAGATGACATTCRTTTTGTGCCTTGCCATTTTCTAAGATCTTTACATAAAAGTTCAATTTACTAAATACTACTGAATGCCACAGGCATGAGTATCTGCTTTATGCATCATTACCAGAGTGTGTGAACAGATATCAAAATGGGATGCATGTCAGCACATGATTTKCAGAGACTAAATGTACTGAGAACAAATAGTATTAACCTTTATCACATGCATAACTGGCTGTCTGACACACTCTAGTTATCCTYGAGGCTATTTATGCAGCAAACTATATAATTATTTTTTATTACTGCAAATAAAGCACCCACCCCCCAATACACACACAYGCACACCCACATCCAATTTGTATTCTTGTAAGTTGGTGCTTCACGTCAGGAAGAATAAACCTATTTTATTTTTATTCTCATGTTGATTTTCCCTGAGGTAATGAAATCTACTYAGTCTTAATGCCAGAGATAGCAGAGACTATGAAGAATTTTGAAATCCAAGCTAAACAGCAAGCAAATTTACAAGCAGTGTTAACTTTAATTACAACTTTTAGCATGAGAAATTTGCTTTTCTCTTATGTTGCTAAATGTTGTCTGTGGTACAGCGCCTGAGAGCAGAGAAAAATCCAACAATGACTATATTGGTTCTGGAAAAGCATGCATCTGTTTAAA